CCTCCTCAGCGGAGGAAGCGCTCTAACGACCTGCATGCTAGCCAATTCGCGAGCGGTTGGAAAATAGATCGTTGGAATCGTCGGTCGTTTGTGCGGTCGCGCGTATCTTGGCGCCCCCCGTCCCAGTATCGAAAGTCGGATTGTAGACAGGCGCATCATTTCTGAGTTCGGAAGTCGCATAGCAAGTGAGTTACCCCATGTCACGAAACAGAAGCTACATACACATATGCGCGCTGGTGCATTGACTCCATGTGAGTGGTGCCCGTTCGTGACGGATGTCTGGAGCTGTGGAAGAGGAACGCGTGTTTGTAATTGTCTTAGTTTGGGCAGCGAAGCTTGTTTGCTGAACTTGAAAATTAGGTCACCCGTCGCATGCTGCGCGTGCGTGGTTGGAGCAGTCTTACGCTGCTGTTGTATGGCATCCCTTGTCGGGGGTCTCCTGAGCTCACTGGTTATGCGAGCAACGGCTGTTGCGCCAATGCAGCCGCCTCGGTAAGACTACGGATATATCGGGGGCAGCCTGCGTATGAGGCCCACGGAGGTGAACGTATTCGTATTGTGGTGTAGGGTGGCCGTGAATTGCCTCTAACAGCATCAATTGGATGTTTGCCATGTCATTGTCCAAAGAGGGTCCTGAGTTGCCGAAGGTGGGAAGAACTGTGCCACCTCTTGAGGGTCCTGAGTTGCCGAAGATGGGAAGAACTGTGCCACCTCTTGAGGCTACGCGTAACTACATCGCCATTCCAAGACGAACGTGATGTTGTGACAAGAAGTTGAAGGTTGCATTCTCTGTGCAGTTCGAAATCCTCGTGTAAGTATTGTTATCACGCGAGTGGTGGAATAATAATTGATTGGAATGCTAATGGAAATACGACTCCGCCTGGTGGGAGCAGTCAAGGTTCCATAGGTGATACGACGCCAGCGAAGCCGACACTTTATATCTAGGGTTCGTCAGAGGTGCTTCGGCTTGTAAAATGGCGCGACGACTACTTGAGGGCAAGAGGCGTCATTATATTGACCAGAGGTAATAAGGTTCCCAAGAAATGCTGGTACCAAGTCAGCCAGGTCGGAAATGAGCTTGCAACGAACAACGCAGTGTGCATGTAGAGCCGATGGCCAGGATGTGAGTGTTGGATGTCGTTACTTGGAGACGACGTTGGCTTTTCTGTAGTCTGTGTCCTTATTGTGTATAGTTTTACCTTCTTATTCCCCAGTCCGCCCTTCCCGTCCCATCGGGTCTGGTGTGTTTGGGTTGTGATGGGCGTGATGTGTGTGGTCTGATATTGCATCGTCTGGCCTGGTCGGCTCCTCTGCTGTCTAGACTGGTCTGAACAGTTTCGCGCGATCTGGTCTGAGTTTGTCATTTCGGACCGAGCAGGGAAAGCAAGAAGGGAAGAGATAGAGAGAGAGAGAGATAAAAAACAAAAAAAAAAAAAAAAAAAAAAAGAGAGAGAGAGAGAGAGAGAGTCACACCATGAAGAAGGTAGCTAGTGCGGCGCACATCGCGGGTGCTTGTCCCTGCTCTTTGGGTGTTTCTCGGGGGCGATTTGGTAGTCGTGGGTTCTCCTGGGGGGGGGGGGGGGCGGTTCCGCATATTCTTCCCTCCTCGTTCTCTTAGTCTTCGCTTCCTCGTCCTCCTCCTCCTCCTCCTCCTCATACCCGTTCTTTGCTCCTCCTCCCACTCCTCCACCTCCTCCTCCTCCTCCTCCTCCTCCTCCTCCTCCTCCCCTCCTCCCTCCTCCTCCTCCTCCTCCTCCTCCTCCTCCTCCTCCTCCTACCTCCTCCTCCTCCCCCCCCCCCCCCCCCCCATCCTCCCCCATCCCTCCTCCTCCTCCTCCTCCTCCTCCTCCCTCCTCCTCCTCCTCCTCCTCCTCCTCCTCCTCCGTAGCCATTTTGGCTCAAGCCTTTTCGCCCATGTTCGGCGGCTCGGCGGCGGCGGCGGCGGGCGCGCCCTGGATGGCTGCGGGGGGCTGCCCGCCGATGTGGCGGCCCAGTGTTTTGAGGATCATGGAGAAGGACTTCCTCGGCGCCTCCGCGGCGAGGCGTGCTGCTCGACGGCGCGGTCGCGCTGCTCTGGAAGCAGCTCTGCGGCCGCTTGTGGCGGCTCGCGGCGCCCCAGGCTCGTGGGTGGACCGCGAGCGCGCCTCGAGGCCGGCTCTGCAAAGGATTGCCGCAGGAGATCGTGTTCCCGGCGCGATGCGGCTGAGGCGGAACGCCGCCTGGCACGCGTGCCGAGTGCCGCCTGGCGGCTTCACAGCCGCGTCCTCGGCGGATCTGTCCTGGGCTGCTGCTGGGCCTCGGCTGGGGCACACTGCTGGTGGCATGCGGGCTGTGGCCGCGTCGTTCGTGCCGCGGGCTGCATGCCGTGCGATGGGCGTGCGGTGCAGCTGCGGGGCGGTTGCTTTCTCATCGTGCTGCTTGCCACCTCCTGCTGACGGCCTGGCGTCGCCCGACGCGTCGCTCGTGGAGGATGAAGGTTCCGAGGCGCCCGTGGGGGAGCGGTGGGCAGGCCCTGGGGAGGCCACCGCCTGCTCGTCCTCCCCGATGGCGCCGCCCTGCTCCGACGCGACCCTGGCCTACCTGGAGGCGCACCCTGCTGCGGTGCTCAAGGGGTGCAACGAGGCCGAGGACGTGAGCTGCCACGTGAAGGTACCGGCGGTGGAGGTGGAGGGCCTCGGCGTGTTCGTGGCGTCGGACTGCGTGGGCCCCTCCAAGAGCGACGAGTCCGTCTCTGGCTCGGACTCCCAGCAGTACCAGAATGCCACCGCCGAGGCGACCGCGGAGGACTACAGCGAGAAGATCAGCGAGGCGATCCGCGAGGCGGGCCTCGTGCGGCGGCTGCCTGATGTACCGCCGTGGCTGCTCGAGGTCTCTGGTTCTGATCCTGGTTGCGCCCGTTGCGACGGTACCCTCGTTCGTCGGCGACGCGGGCCAGGGAGGTGCTCATGCAGGGCATGCGGAATGCCCATTCCTCGTGGTGCGGATGTGGCTGCCTGTTCGCGCTGCCGTACTTCGTGGCACAGTTCGTGTCTCAGGCGTTTGTTCGACGAGGATTGGGTCGACTCTGGCAGCTCTTCATGATGCCGTGCGTGCTCCTGTCCGTTGAGGTCTTCTTCGGGTTCACGCTCGTGGCGGGCTTCACGGCAGGTGTGACGTCAGCGGCGGGGCAGGGCTGGTGGCGAAAGTGGCAGGTGGCGCCACCCAGCCCTGCCCCCTCCTCTGGGGGGAGGCGCCGTCCCCCCAGAGAGTATGGCTTGGCAGTTGTCGATGTTAAAAAAAATCCTCCTCCTCCTCCCCCTCCTCCTCCTCCTTCTCCTCCTCCTTCTCCTCCTCCTCCTCCTCCTCATCGTCGTCCTCTTCCTCCTCCTCCTCCTCCTCCTCTCCAGCCTCCTCATCCTTCTCGTCCTCCTCCTCCTCCTCATCCTCCTTCTCCTCCTCCTCTTTCTCCTCATCCTCATCCTCATCCATCTTCCTCCTCATCCTCCCCCATCCTTCTCCTCCGTCATCCTCCTCATCCTAATCCTCATCCTCGTCCTCCTCCTCCTCCTCCTCCTCCTCCTTCTCCTCATCATCATCATAATCAGCATCATCCTCATCATCCATCCTCCTCCTCCTCCTCCTCCTCCTCGTCGTCCTCCTCCTCCGCCTCCTCCTCATCATCGACATCATCATCCTCATCATCATCATCATCAGCAGCAGCAGCATCATCATCATCATCCTCATCCTCATCATCATCATCATCATCATCATAGGCATCCTCCTCATCCTCCTTCTTCCTCCTTGTCCTCCTCATTCTCGTCCTCCTTCTCCTCTTCCTCCGCCCCGTCTTACAGTATTGCTCCTCCTCTTCATCCGTCTCCTCCTCATCTTAGTACTCCCCCTCCTCCTCCTCCTCCTCCGCCTCCTCCTCCTCTTCCTCCTCCTCCTCTTCCTCCTCCTCGTCATCCTCCTCTTTCTCGTCTCCTCCTCCGCCTCCTCCTCCTCCCCTCCGCCCCTCCTCCTCCTCCGCATCTCCTCCTCATCATCCTCATCATCAGCATCATCATTGTCATCCTCATCATCATCATCATCATCATCAGCATCATCATCAGCATCAGCATCAGCACCATCATCATCAGCATAATCAGCATCATCAGCAGCATCATCATCAGCATCAGCATCAGCATCAGCATCATCCTCATCATCATCATCATCATGAGCCTCCTCCTCCTCTTCCTGTTCCTCCACCTCCTCCGCCTCCGCCCCCTCCTCCATCCTTCTCCGCCTCAGCATCATCCTTATCATCATCGTCATCATCATCAACATCATCAGCATCACCAGCATAATCATCATCAGTATCATCATAGGCATCCTCATCATCCTCATCAGCATCAGCATCATCAGTATCATCATCAGTATCTTCATCATCATCAGCATCATCATTATCATCATCATCCTCATCATAAGCATCATCATCATCATCATCATAATAATCATCATCATCATCATCATCATCCGCATCCTCCTCATCCTCCTCCTCATCATCATCATCCTCCGCCGCCTCCTCAGCCTCCTCCGTGTCCTCCTCTTCCTCTTCTTCCTCATCCTCCTCCGCCTCCACCTCCTCCTCTTCTTCCTCCTCCTCATTATCATTCGCATCCTCCTCCTCCTCCTCCTCCTCCTCCTCCTCCTCCTCCTCCCCCTCCTCCTCGTCCTCCGTCTCCTCCTAATCCTCATCCTCATTCTCATCCTCATCCTCATCCATCCTCCTCCTGTTCCTCCTTCTCCTCCTCATCCTCATCCTCATCCTCATCCTCCTCCTCCTCCTCCTCCTCCTCCTCCTCCTCCTCCTCCTCCTCCCTCGCCAACCTTCCTCCCCCGCGTGTTCCTCACCATTCTTTTCCGCGGCCACTGCGGGCGCCCCGCCTGTCGCATGTCGCCGTCGCCACTTCTGGCTGCTGTTTTTTCTCAGCCTGGGCCTCGCGCCCTTTCGCGGGCGCGCGCGAGGCAAACCTAGAATCCTGGAGCCTTCCCTTTCCTCGCCACCCCCCTCCCTCACCGCCCGCCCCCTGGACCGCCCCCACTGCAGCTGCTCCTCCCCCCCTCGGGGGGGCCCGTCGTTCTGCCTGTTCTGCCGCCCGAGGAGCGCTTCGTTCGCGGAGGCGTTCTCGCAGAGCGGCGCGGGGCCTGCCTCCGTGGCTGCCTGGAGCGCCTTCTGCTGGGGAGGGAAGGGGGCTGGGAGCAAGGGCGTGCTTCACAGTGAAATCAAACCTTGAGCGGCGACTTGCGTTGAAAGATGCAGTGTTTTTGTTGTGCCGAGTTTGCTACGTATCGTGTGTTCGACCTACTGTTTTCTGCGTAGTGCTTTCCACGCAGTGCTTGCTGCGCACTGCTTTGCTACGTAGCATTTTGATACGTAGCGTGTTCCTACGTAGCGTTTGCTAAGTAGCGTTGTTTAAAGTAGTGGTTTGCTGCGTAGCGATTTGCGACGCAGTGCTCGGGGCCGCAAGGCCAGAATCCTTTTTCCCCGACCTTGCGAAGGGGTTCCCGTTTTGTGTTCCCCTGGGGGGGTCTGGGGGTTGGACCCCCCAGGACATAGCCCCGGCCACGCGACGAACGCCGGCAGAAGTCCGGCGAAAGACGGCCCCATTTCGGTGGACGCGCTTTCGGGCGGCACGGGCGGCCCCAAGATGATCCGCAAGATGGTCCAAGAGGGCCACGTGCTGCCGACTGAGCGGTCTAGACGGCCCAGGGAGTCCCCAAGACGTCCCGGGAGGCCTCCAAGAGGCTCCCATGGAGAGCCCCAAGAGTCAAAATTCATTGGTGTCCCCCAGGTTTTTGAAGGTTTTTCGCGTTCTCGCCGGTTCGACTTCAGGAGCCACCCAGAAGCCTCCCAGAAGCCTGCAAGACGGCCCCAAGACCCCCCCAGAGAGCCCCCCCAGAGGGCCGAATCCAGGACACATGCCAGGAAGGAAAAAAAAAAAAAAAAAAAAAAAAACGTCGTCGGATATTTGGGACCATTGCACTAGTGGAGGGCGCATTTCCCTCAGATCTGGTTCCCGTTTGCACGTCTTGAGCAGCTCACGGACATCACGCCCCGCACACGCACGGTATGTTCGCGTCGTGTCGACCGGCGGCGCCCCCGCCGCGGACGCTCAACGTTGCACGCCGCCAGTGGCCCAGAATCGTCCGACGTGGAACGATCGGGCCATCGAAAAGCCGCCGATCGTTCAAGGCACGCGGTATCAGAAACCAATGCCAGGGTCGTCACGTCACGAACTTGCCGCACGTATCCGGCCGCCCGCTCCGACTTGTCAGATCGGGGACCGTCCGTTCGCCTCCGTCGGCCGCGCAGATGTCGTGTGCTAGTGGCTCTCTCGCCTTGGCGCCTCACGCAGGCGCCGGAAGGACCTCGCCTTCGGAGATAGGCCCCCAAGAGGGCGCCCAGACGGCCGAAGACGCCCCCAAGACGGCTTAAGACGCCCTCAAGACCGCCGAAGACGGCCCCAGGAACGCCCCAGGAGCAGCCCCAGAGGAGGGCAGCTGCCGACATTTCGGGTTCTCCGCCCAAAGAACTCCCCAGGAGGTCCCAAGTGGCCCCTAAGAGGCCCCAAGAATCCTCCAAGAAGTCTCCGGGAAGCCGCCAGAGGCCCCCAAGAGGGCCCCGAGACTGCCTAAGAGGGCCCCGAGATGGTCGGAGACGCCCCAGGGCTCGAAAACTGCCCAACACGGCTCCAAGATGGTCGGAAACGCCCCGGCAAAGTAGTACAGCATCAAACAGACAGCACGGGAACCAACATAATGCGCCCGAATGCGGCACAGCGTCAAGCGGACAACACGGGGATCAGCATTATGCGCCCTATAGGTATATTCTCCTGTGTTTTTCTCTTCCTCGCAAGTCACGCCCGCTTGTCCTCCAAGGTCGGGGTTCGTGGCAGTATCAGGGTAAATTACGCTGGATCTGCGCTCTCGAAGCCAGATCCCCTCATAAGTGATGTGTTAGTTTAAAGTATTTGGGCCGTCCAGGTACGCGCAAGGGAACCTACCGGAAAGCCCTGGGAGCACGCTCCCAAAGTTTTGAGGGTAGCGATCCACGGGCATGCCGTGTGTATATATATATATATATATAACATACGTTATACAAACACAAAACTATAATAATAATAATAACAATAATAAAAAATAACAATAATAATAATAAGAATAATAATAATAATAATGATCATACTAATAATAATAACAATAATAACAATAAAAACAACAACAATAAAAATAACCATCTAAAAAAGACGCGTAGAAAGCACCACGTAAAACAAATGCGGATGCGCACCAGATACCACGTAACAAAACAGCACATGTGTGCACACAACACCAAAAAAAAAACATCGTGGCACATCGCGAAACAATGCCAAGTGCAAAACGTAACGTGAAAAACCGCGTTAAAAACACGACGTAAAAAAGGACGTACCACTAAACACTTCGTAAATATGCGAAAGCAGCACCGACCCTTTACTGCATGACATCGTAACACAAAACCGAATGACAACACAACGTACAAAACACAGCGTACAAAAAAACACTGTGTAAAAACACACCATGCCAAATTGTCTTGTTTAGAGCCGCAGTCTTGTCTGCAGCAAGTGTTTGGTTCGTTGCGTTGCGTCGTTGTTTGCCTGAGGGCTCCCAGCTCCAAAAATGAAGGCGTCTGCGAAAGGAAAACTTGTTTGAGCGAAGGAATCTGGAATGCGCGTCGAAGCACCTCGAAGGTACCTGCGGGATACTTCGCGGTCCTTTTGGCAGACGCCTTTACTCATGGAGCTACGAGCTCTCCAGCAAACAGCGGTGCGACCGCTATAGCAAGATATCATAACGAACGAACAACAACACGTAAACAAAAATAACGATATAAATAATAAACACCATGACATCGGAAAAGGCAAACCACGTTGGGTAAAAAACAGCGTAATAAACACAGCTTAGAAAAGCACCGCGTAGAAAACACCGCGAAGAAAACACCGCATAGAAATCATCGCGCAGGAAATACAATGTAGAAACACACTGCGTAGAAAACACTGCGTCGAAAACATTGCGTGGAAAGCACAGCCGAGCAAAACACAGCGTAAACACATTGCATGGAAAATCATGCGTCGCAAATGCGTAGAAAACACTGCGTCGAAAAAAAACGAAAAACAAGAAAACAAACAAGTTAACATATAGCGTAAGAAACAGCGTGAACACACAGCGTAGAAAACACCGCGTAGAAACCACGGCGTGGAAAACACCGCGTAGAAACATAACGCGTAGAAAGCACAGCGTGAAGCACAGCGTAGAAAACGCCGTGTAGAAAACGCCGCGTGGAAAACATTGCGTAGAAACCTTGCGTAGAATACACCGCGTAAGAAAATCTTGCGTCGGAAACAATGCGTAGAAAACACACGTAGTTTAAGTCAATTCACCGTTAAGCATAATTCTCGTTTGGAAGAGTGGACGGGGCGGCAAGGGAGCGTCGGGAGAAGAGGGGGAGGGCCAACCGATGGGAGGGGCGGATGGGGAGGAGGGGTCCTTGACATTCCTGGCGTCGTGAGAGCGAAGCATGGCGGGAGGTTTTGGGTTCGCGTTCTCGGCCGAGACGACGGCTCTCAGCCAGAGCAGTTCAAGTGGAAGGAGAATGGAGGGACGGGGGAGGAGGCCAGGGGCAACAGTGGGGGGGAGGCCCATGGGGGGGATGCATCGACCCCGAATCGCTCCTTGATCGCCGATGGGGGCCTGATAGCCCACCCCGCCCAGGAGCGTGCAGTTTCGTTACCGCGGGTAGATCACCGACCTGTATGCGATGTAAGGCCGATTCCAGGTCGATGCTTCCCCCACTGAGCCAGTCCCCCCGGGCGCTCCCGCTCAGGAAGGGAGGGGGAAGGGAGAGCGCAAGGAGAACGAGCGGGAGGAGCACGAGCAGCGGCAGCGGCGGGAGAGCGATTGAAGGAGAGGGCGCAGGTGGAGGAGCACGAGTACGATGTCGAGCAGGAGGAGGGGGGGGAGGGGGAGAGAGGAGGAGAGAGGAGGGAGGGAGGGAGGGAAGAAGAGGGAGGGAGGGAGGAGACGGAGGAGGAGGAGGAGGAGGAGGAGGAGAGAGGAGATAGGAGAGAGGAGAGATGAGAAAAGAGGAGGGATGAAGGAGGAGGGAGGAGGAGGAGGAGGAGGAGGACAAGGAGGAGGAGGAGGAGGAGAAGGAGGACGGGGGGGCCCTCTCGGCGGGCCGAGCTCGGTGAGAGTTCTGGCCGAGGTGCCCCTGCGCTCCGATCGGCCTCTTCGCCCGATGCCGCTGTGGCGCGGTAGTGCGGCTTCTTACCGGTGGAAGGAGCTCTACGAGGCTCCCGGCGGTGACCAGGTTGACGGTTCATCGGGGGCGGAAAAGAGGGGGGTGATGACTAGGGGGGGGTGGATATCATGGCGTGGGCCATGATATTTCCCCAGAGTTCATGGCGCCTCTTCTTATGTCATTGCGTCCCTGGCCCCCCCACTGGGCCGCGCACATGCCGCCGGTCACGATTTGCACCCCCCCCTCTTGGACACCCCCCTCTTGGCCGCTCCCGAGTTCACCGCCGGCGCCAGTTCCCGGGGAGCTCTCTGAGAGCTATAGGGTTTTAGATTAGAAGCCGCACGGTGGTGGTGCCCTCCAGCAGCCCATCTTCGCCGCTCCACGATCCTCGCAGGAACTCGCCGGACCCGCAGCTCGAGGGGCGATTTCACTTCGCATAGGGCCGTGCAACCCAGCACAGGTGCAATAGGTGTGCGGAGCCTGGCTTTGGGGGACCTCCTACGAAAAGGGATCCGCCTTAGACCCTCTGCATATGAGCATCCGACGCATCGCGCACTGGTTCGCAGAACCCGTTCCAGAAAAGGCCCCCGAGGCGATGCCAAGGCGGCAAATCTCTTGTTCGGGAGTTCAAACTGCGTTGGCCTGCCCTTTCGAGGACGGCCATGGTGAACTGCCTCGGAGGGTGCATCATGCTGGCGATGATCTTGGGCGACTCTGCGATGGGCGTGCTTCAGCAGGCCCGCGCAGTCGAAAAGCCAGCAGCAGCAGCAGCAGCAGCAGCAGGAGCTGCAGAGTTGTGGAGAAAGCGGGCAGAAGGAGGAGAAGGCGGCGGAGGAGGAGGAGGAGGAGGAGGAGGAGGAGGAGGAGGAGTAGGAGCAGGTGCAGGAGGAGGACGAGCAGGCGGAGGAGGAGGAGCAGGGCTCTGAGGTGGAGGCCGAGGTGATGCCCGTTCTGCGCGTGCGGGTGCACACTCGTGCCCTGCAGCGCGGGAGGCCCCCCCACGCGCCACGGCCCTTGCGACGGGGTCTGGGCGCCGCGCACGGCAAGAAGATCCCCTTGCGGCCACGGAGGCCAAGCAGAGGCCGGAGGCCATGGCCGAGGCATCGGGTCATGCAGCGCGCGTGTCAGGGGCAAGCGTCAGGGGTGGGTCGGCTCTAGGGGGCCTGCATCGCCGATCCCAGATCGATGCTTACGCCCTCAAGCCGGTCCGCCTCTAACATTCACTCTCAGCGTGGTGCGCTGGACCCGACAGTGCCGCTGGGCGCAGAGGTTGCAGCCCTTCGGCAGGGCGCTCCAGCAGGGGCCTCGCCTTCGAGGACCCGAGAAGGTAATACCTCTTCCTCGCTGGAAGGCTGCGGAAGGGCGGCGGGGGTAAAGCGGGGGTGGCTCCGCTGGCGGAAGCTGGAGGAAGGCCGACGGAAGCCGACGGAATGAAAAAATTGTTTTTCCGAGAGATGGCAATTTGTAGGTTCCAGGGTTTCCGAAATTCGTCAGGTGGCACCCCATACGTTCATTCACCGTATAGTGTACCCGTCAAGTTGCGCCCCATCATGAGGTTGGACCCCATGGGTTCAGACCGTCTGTTACACGATATGAGTTTCTGGAGCACACGCGCGCTGGCATCATCCCCCAAACAGCTACACTGACTGGCGCTTTGTTGTGGTAAGAAGTCTGTCCGACTGAAAGACGGGCGCCCAGCAATTCGCTCGAGGCATCCTCACAATTCCGGGTGGTCTGACCCGTCTCGCTCGAAATATCCTTTGAATTCGGCCCTTGCGCGAGTCGGTCCCGTTTGTTCCGCCTGACACATCTTCGCAGTTCTGGGCCCCGAAGTGCCGTGCGCGAGACGGTTCGGCCCGTTTCGCCTGAGACATCCTCGCAACCTTGGGCTCCAAGATACCACACGCCAGGTGGTATGGACCGTTTCGCTTGAGACATCTTCGCAATCCTTAACTTCGAGATGTCGCATGCCGTGCGCGAGGTGGTCTAGCCCGTTTCGCCTGAGACATCCTCGCAGATCTCAGTTCCGAGATGCCGTGCGAGAGGTGGTCAGGCCCGTTTCGCTCAGGACGTCTTTTCAATTATGGGTTCCGAGATTTCTCACGCGAGGTGGTCCAGCCCGCATTCGCCTGAGATATTCTCGCGCTTCTTGGTTCCGAGATGCCGCGCGCGAGGTGGTGGTCTGGCCCGTTTCGTTGGAGACATCCTCGCAATTATGGGTTCTGAGAGGGAGGATGAAGGCGGGTCAGGACCAAACGACCCATGTGATCACATTTCTGTTATCGTAGAAGGAGCTAGAACTCATCATCATGTGTTAGCCATCGCTGTCATCACTCCGCTTACCTGATCTCACCAAACACAGAACGGGGATCGGAACATGCTCCAGGAAGGGTTCAGGCGCCCCTGGTCCGAGAAAAGAGGTAGCCTTGGTGCGTCCAACGTCGCCCTCTGAAATGGGCCATGGAGAGCTGCGACGATGAGGTCCTCGACGACCAGATGCGCTGGCTGCGCGCCCGAGTTTTGAGCACGGCGAGGCGAGGGCGAGGGCGCCTGTCAAAGGAGTGGTATGGCGGGTGACCTACATTGAAAGGCTATAGGACTCGGACGCGCAATGCCATCCACGACGTGGACGCGCGTGGCCTTCGAGGGGATCAATACATCGGCACCGCCTTGCGCCCGCCTTTGGCAGAGGTGGAGGCGCGCTGGGCGCGGCGCTGGAATGGGGGACTTGTGAGCAGCCGAGGATGCAGGTGTGGCGGCTGGAGGAGGTCAGGCGCCTAAAGCTGCTGAAATCGTGCCTCCGCCGCACTCGCAGGTGTCGGGTGCTGTTCGCAGAACTAGGCGCTGCAGCTGCTGCGGGCGCACAGCTGTGCCAGCGAAGAGGAGGCCGTGGACTTCGGCCGCGCGGCACACGTGATTGCTCCCGCGGCTCGGGCAGCGGCTCGCGACACGGCGTCCTCTGAGGATTACCGGTGCTCTGGTTGTTTAGAGCCTCACTGTGGGGGGCGTTTTTTAAAGTGCCTCTCCGACGTGGGAATTCGAGCATTTTTACGTCGAGGCTCGAGCCTGCATTCGTGTCGCCTGAGGGCGCACACTTCCCCACTCAGGGCATCCAGACTCGAGCCTGCACGTCGGGATTGGCATATTACGACGCCTGGCGAAAGCATTCATGCGTGCGGAGGTCGTGTCGTTTGCTTGGTTTTTCTCCCGCAAACACCCTTGTCGTCGTCCTCCTCCTTCTTCTCCTCCTCCTCCTCCTCCTCCTCCTCCTCCTTTTCCTTTTCCTTCTCCTCCTCGTCTAGGCGGCGTGGGCGGCTGCGGGTCCTGGCTCCCAGATCTGGTCATTGCTCATTCTGCAACGTGTGTTTCTCGCCCTCGGCCTCTATAGAAGATGGCCCCAGCGCCACCCAGTCGGAGCCCGCGGACACAGGAACACCTCATGCCATGTTTGGTAATCATTCTCCTCCCTTTCCTCCTCTTTCTCCTCATTGGAATCGGAGGTCCCGCCGCCTTTTGGCCCAAACGACAGCGCATACCTGCAGATTGCACGGCGAGTATAAACGATGCAATCAACATCTGATTGCCGCCATGCTTTCTCTCGTACAGCTTCCAGCCCCCGAAATTATATTTGGCAGCGGAGCTGGGAACGATCCCAGCTCGCGATCCACGGAAAGTGCGCATAGTGTTGTGTGGACGCACATACGCACTGATCTGCACCTCCCCATCGGTACCAAGTTCCAGTCCTTGAACATCCTGTGCTTATGTCCGTTCTGCAAGCCAACCTGCAGTTCGCCCTGAACGTCTGGTCCAGCTGCGAGAACAGAGGGCGCAAACGCGATGAGGAGCGACTCGCCCACAGGAACGCCACGACGTTCCTCGACCCATCGCAACCCCACAGGCACTGGCCGCAGCTTCGCGTTGGGCATGATTGCGAGGATCCTCCCTGGGCTAGCGCCGTGCCTCGGCACGTATGCGATAGTGTTGGTTGTCTTTGTGAACACATCGCACCACCCAAGTGGAACACAGGAAGCTAACGTACCAGTTTAACCGACTTGGGCTTCGACCGAGGTTGACGGCGTCACCACGGCTGTCCCGCTCTTCGACATGGCGTTCGCCCTTGCGCAGGCCCGAGCCCCAAGGCGCCTCCGCAGCCATCATCGTGGCGAGGTCTTATCGAGGAGTACCTCCATCTTGGCGCTCGGGGGCAGTATCCTCGTGTTTTTCGTGGCCGTCCTGCTTTGGTTCACCTGCATGGTGCTTGGCGCAGCCAGCCCACTGCGCGGCGGCGGCGGTCGCGGTGCGATCACATCCTGCCAGCCGCTCCATGGTCACCCGAGCGCGAGTCCACGCATCCTTTCCGTCACTGGGCACAGGACTTGATCGCTTGGAGCGCGCTAGCCACCGACATGGACAGCGCCCAGCAACGCGCCGCTGTCACCCTCAGTCGCGGCGAGGCCGCTCGCGAGCTCACGCGCTCCACGAGCGCCACGGAAATGACGCAGGGAGGCATGGTCAACGGCCAGCAAGAGGATGCCGTGACCTACCTCATCGCGAACCTCGCCACACAGTCAGTTCGGTCCATTGGGCGAGGAGTCGCGCCTCCAGGCTACCCGCGAACTCTTCGAGTTGTCGAGGCGCCGCAACGAAACCACCGACGCGCGGCCCCCGCGGATTCCCACGCTGCTATTCCGAGCTACTCACAACGGTGCAGTTGCGATGTCGTGGGAAGGCTGCAGCTGGCTGCTCCTCCGAGCGGTCGGCGTTACAGCTAGCCACCTCATGGTGCTACTTCAGCTCTATGGCAACCGACGCCCAGCCACGGAGGCCGAGTTCAACAGTTTCACGACTGTGTTCAGGCGCGTGGGTCACATCGTTGAGCACGCACCAAACAACATCGCCAGTGCTCTTCGCGCGCTGCCTATCGCGCGGAGGTTGCGCGGGCATGGCCAACGGCAGCAGCGACGACACATATGCAACGGACCCCTGACACACTCAGGGCCTCGACCCCCGGGCTGCCAGCGCCGCCGAGCTTCGTGCCAGCGGTGCCATGACGCACGCTACTGGCCCGTCTGCGCCGCGCCGCCGCGGGCAGCCGATCCCGCCGCCGCGCGGGCGCCCGCAGACGGGGCCGACGACGTCAGCGGGATGTCCTCGGGCGCCATCTCGGACCCTGGGTGAGAGGTCAACTACCAAGCGCCAGAGCTCCAAGGTTTTAGCCCTGCCCAGATAGATGCTCGGCTATTCCGGCAGATGAAGACCGCCAGAGGGCAGCGGCGCAGACCCGCGCAACATGCCGCGCCCTACTCGCAAGGCGGGCCCATCAAGCAGAACAACAACATTTTCTTTAGAAACAGGCAAATGCAAAGGCAAAGGCAGAGGTTCCCAGAAGCATCCACTTCTTTCGGAATTCTCAGACACCCAGGTAGACCAGGTCTTCTCGGGCGGAAGAGGACACGGCAAAGGCGCAGGGAAAGGCGGGCGCCGCAATCGGCGAGGCCTACGACGGGGCCACCATGGCGCGTAGCATCTGCGGAAGCGAGCACCGCCGCTGCGCCGAGCGCCCTCAAGGCACAGCATCGCCACCACAGGACAAAGGCAGCGGCGGACAGTTTGGAGCATGCGCAGATTCAGGACCCATAGACGGCACCCTGGACCCTGGGCCCTCTTTCCGCGATCTCAGGAGTTGCTTCCACGGTCACTGGGGGTCTTCGTCAGCCGCGGCCAGGTCACAACGTCA